AGGAGTGGATCATTGGACAGTGGTCAAAATTGTCCTTGGGAATAAGGAAACATTTCTCGATTATGGAGGTGATGAAGAGTTCGGAGTAAGGGGTTACGTTGATGCAAGCTTTAACACCTATCCGGATGACTCTGAGTAGCAAACCGGATACGTATAGTGGAGCAACCATTTAGAATAGCTCCAAGTGGAGCATAGTAGCAACATCTACAATATGAAATAGAGATTTGCGGAGAACACACGGATCTGAATGTTGCAGACCCATTGACTAAAACCTCTCTCGTAAGCATAACATGATCAAACCCTAGAACTCATTGAGTGTTAATCACATGGCGATGTGAACTAGATTACTGACTCTAGTAAACTCTTGGGTGTTGGTCACATGGCGATGTGAACTATGAGTGTTGATCACATGGCGATGTGAACTAGATTATTGACTCTAGTGCAAGTGGGGGACTGTTGGAAATATGCCCTAGAGGCAATAATAAAATGGTTATTATTATATTTCCTTGTTCATGATAATTGTCTATTGTTCATGCTATAATTGTATTAACTGGAAACCATAATACATGTGTGAATACATAGATCGTAATATGTCCCTAGTAAGCCTCTAGTTCACTAGCTCGTTGATCAATAGATGGCCACGGTTTCCTGACCATGGACATTGGATGTCATTGATAACGGGATCACATCATTAGGAGAATGATGTGATGGACAAGACCCAATCCTAAGCATAGCACAAGATCGTGTAGTTCGTTTGCTAGAGCTTTTCTAATGTCAAGTATCATTTCCTTAGACCATGAGATTGTGTAACTCCCGGATACCGTAGGAGTGCTTTGGGTGCATCAAACGTCACAACGTAACTGGGTGACTATAAAGGTGCACTACAGGTATCTCCGAAAGTGTCTATTGGGTTGGCGTGAATCGAGACTGGGATTTGTCACTCCGTATGACGGAGAGGTATCTCTGGGCCCACTCGGCAATGCATCATCATAATGAGCTCAATGTGACTAATGAGTTAGCCACAGGATCATGCGTTGCGGAACGAGTAAAGAGACTTCCGGTAACGAGATTGAACGAGGTATGGGGATACCGACGATCGAATCTCGGGCAAGTAACATAACGATGGACAAAGGGAATTGTATACGGGATTGATTGAATCCTCGACATCGTGGTTCATCCGATGAGATCATCGTGGAACATGTGGGAGCCAATATGGGTATCCAGATCCCGCTATTGGTTATTGGCCGGAGAGGTGTCTCGGTCATGTCTGCATGGTTCCCGAACCCGTAGGGTCTACACACTTAAGGTTCGGTGACGCTAGAGTTGTTATGGGAAATAGTATGTGGTTACCGAAGGTTGTTCGGAGTCCCGTATGAGATCCCGGACATGACGAGGAACTCCGGAGTGGTCCGAAGGTGAAGATCGATATATTGGACGAAGGGTATTGGAGTCCGGAATTGTTCTGGAAGTACCGGGTGACGACCAGCTTGACCGAAAGGTGTTTTGGAGGCCCCGACAAGCGTTGGGGGGCCTTCTGGGCAAAGGGAAGGGGCACATCAGCCCACTAAGGGGTTGTGCGCCCCTCCCACCCCATCTCACGTAACGTGGAGAGGTGGGGGCGCCTCCCCTAGGGCAGCCACCCCTCCCGGCTTGGGGGGCAAGTTTCCTAGGGGTGGGGGCGCCTAAACCCATCTAGGGTTTCCCCTGTGGCCGCCGCCCCTCCCCTAGGGAACCCTAGGGCGCCTCCTCCACCCCTTCCCCCTATATATAGTGAGGGAGAGAGAGGGCAGCTGCACCCTTCCCTTGGCGCAGCCCTCTCCTCCTCCAACTCCTCCTCCTCTTCCGTAGTGCTTAGCGAAGCCCTGCCGGAGAACCACGAGCTCCATCGCCACCATGCTGTCGTGCTGCTGGAGTTCTCCCTCAGCTTCTCCTCTCCCCTTGCTAGATCAAGAAGGAGGAGACGTCCCCGGGCTGTACGTGTGTTGAACGCGGAGGCGCCGTCCGTTCGGCGCTTGGATCGGATCTACCGCGATTTAAATCGCCGTGAGTATGACTCCATCAACCGTGTTCTTGTAACGCTTCCGCTTAGCAATCTTCAAGGGTATGAAGATGCACTCCCTCTCTCTCATTGCTAGCATCTCCTAGATTGATCTTGGTGACACGTAGGAAAATTTTGAATTATTACTACGTTCCCCAACAGATTGGAGATGGCAAACGCTTCTACCGTTTCATGGCGCTGCAAGCCAATAATGATGAGTCGGAGGGGGTGACGATGGCGATTTTCCGACCAACCACATCGGATGTTGGGATTGCGATGTGGCAATGCTACCAGCAGGGACAAGTGAGGGAGGATGTTGCGGCGATGATGTTGTGCTAGGGGTGACATCGACACGCACGGAGGGTGTTATGGCCTTGCGAGAGATGCGGGAGGCTGGTGGTTGCGGCTAATGGTCTACCTTTGTTCTTCTAGGGCGTCAAGCACAGGGGGGAGGATGATTGGTACGGGAAAGGATCTGAGGATGACGCCTAGCCGTCTAGAGGATGTCAATTCCTTAAGGGTAACATGTCCAAGCTAGGCTCGATCATATTCTTTGGTGATGCTCAATCATTTTGTTCTTCGGATCAGGTGTTTTCCCCACTTAGGATTGAATCAAAATGAGTGAGAGGGATACCCACTGCTTACACTTGGCATAATTTCTCTCAAGCAACCACCCTCTATCTGAGGGGTAGGGGTCTATTTATAGCTGGGGCCAGGGTTGGCACCAGTATGACCGTTGGAGGGTGGTGGAGACATGCCCACCAACGTGTTGTTGCTAGTTGTCAGAACAGTCAGAATTCAAACTCTCAAATTCCTAGGGTTCTGAAGAACCTAGGACAACCTTGCAACAGGTTCCTAACTCCTCACGGAGGAATATAACTCAAGTTTTCCAAAGAATCACCCTCGATACAAGAGCTAGAAGGCTCACTTGGAAGAAGAATTCCAAGTCTTAACTCACAAGTGTATATAGGTTTGATTGAGCACACAGATGACGAATTCAATCTTGCTTCACTTAGACCCCCTTAATACTACGATTTTCCCTTCGACTCAAATGAAGAATAAAAGAAACTAACAAAGAAACATTATTCTTCACGCTTCAATCCTCCATATGGCATTCAGAAGACTTCAATGTTCTTACAACACTTTTAGGGGTCATAACCCATTGGTTAAACCAAATCATTGGAGACTTTCACCTGTGTATACTCAAAAACATATTAGTCCCTTGACCATTATTTCATTAATCATCCAAAACCCACACATGTGACAATGGATGCACTTACACATTAGTCCCTTGACCATTATTTCATTAATCATCCAAAACCCCCACATGTGACAGTAGATGCACTTACAAATCCCCCCTCCCCCGGGCTTTTCAAACATAAAACATCCTCGTTGTGGAAGATTGCAACTGGTCGATCTGCGGGGACGTGCCGAAGAGCGCGGACTAACTCTCTTCCGATGTCCCTTTGTCGTGCGCTTCAGGGATGTGTTGGACCTCACTCGAGACGTCGTGGACGCGACTTCATCCCCGCGTGAGCTGGTTGTCGATAAAATTGCGCCGCGGCGCACAACCCTGACGTTCTTGCTGCTATGCTACTAGTGGTTGTGGAAGCACCGAAATGGAGCCGCCTTCAACGAGGACACCTCCCTCACTCCGGGGCATAAGACAATGATGACGTGATGATGTTGTCCGATGGTGCAACGCCTATCGATCGATCACAGGGGTGACGTCGACTGCTGGCTCTCCTGCCTGGCCACGAATAGCTAGTGCGTTGGTCTATCCCCGCCCCCGGTGAAAATTCAAAACAAAAAGGTTGTACCAAATCTGCATGCTTCAATTCATCATGGCTTTGGTGCGTTCAGTTGATGCTGTTGAGGATTTTTTTTGAAGTACCAAAAGGTTGAGGATGTTAAATTCCAGAAACTGGAAAAAAAAGTGCATTGTAAAAGATCAGGCATTAGCTGGGATCTATATTACTAAAATGATAACAGTGCCGCTCTTCATAGCTTATTGTATTATATTACTTGATGTGTTCCTTGCAGGTTATCGTGATTTTCTTTTTGTGGAATATGCCTTTGGAATGCCTTGATTGGTCAGAGGCGCTGGCTGGCAGAATGTGTCTTTGGAATGCCTCGATTTGTCAGCATTGCTGGCTGGATGTTAGCTGGTTCATTTTATCATTGCCAGTAATGTATTTAGGCTTATTTTTTATTTAATTTTTGCGAATAACGTATTTTGGCTTATTAACACGCAAACGTACATTATATATTGGATAAAAATACAACCGGCTCGCGCCAGTTAACTTGTGTATCCTCTAAACTTTAGTATTATGTGTATGTGTAATGTGTAAAGTAGTGTATATGCATGAGACTTCTACCAAGATGGGGACTATAGCCTGGTGCTATTATGAACCGCATCATATCTGACTCAAAAAATATAACATAGCTGCTTCAGGAATTTGATATTAATACCATTGGTATTTGATAAATGAAATAAAGAACGCCATGGGTGTGCGCCAGGGGCGCGACTCCTCTCTAGCTGGATAGCAATGGTTCGAACGGCTCACTGCTCTGCCTTGATGGGCACGAGACAGCAAATAAGAGAGAGAGCAAATAAAATGATTGCTGCTCTACCTTGGTACAAAAAGATAATGTATCATGCCTGTATTTCATTGCCTTTCATGATGTGATTACAGTCTCAAGAACTTGGGATCTACACAATCATAAAGAAAAAAAGAATCTGTAAAGCAGTTAGAAGAATACAACCTGGCCATCCATCATTGTACAACTAGGATTCTACGAACCCTCAAATCCAATACTCATCTACCATTCTGTATGAACTAAAACCTATACAACCTGTATGGTGTCCCATTTCATATAGATTGCCCTTGTCAGATCCAATTAAGCTTGATTGCAGTCCTAGGAACAAACAAACTCTGAACTGTAAAATGGTAACAAATTTCTATGAACACGGAGTTTTCATGCCGACGAAACCGAACCCTAATACAATGAATGCCAAGGCCTGGAGGTAGATGTACATGAAGTATGTCTGGCTTCCAAGCACGTAGTCATACGAGGCGCATATCAAGAGGTAGAGCGCGAGCAAGAGCTCAGGGATGTAAATCCTGCAAAGGGCGAATTGTTGGAGTTTGAAGCACATTCTTCAACATTTGTTTTGTTCTTGCACAATTTGACATAATTAGTTACAAACTTGAACTGCATGCTATAGGTTTGTTCACGTACCTCTCCACACATTCAGTGGGCTTCAGTGGTTCAAGGAGTGGGACTTCAAAATCGTCCTTCACCACATCTCCTACCTTCTCAGTAACCACCCAATCATTTACGTGCGCAGTCTCAAGTAAACCGGTTAGAGCTGCACGCATACGGTGCATGGACATTACATTTTCAAACAGAATCCAGAATGGCATCAGATGGAGAGACCTGGCGTACCAGATAAGATCATATAAAGAAGTCAACATTAACAAGAACATGAAGCTGTACTCTGGACGAAACGAATAGTGCATACCCAGGATTCCTGATGGCATTCATGATAGTAATGGCAGTAGGAATGTAGACCAACCCCCACACAGGAATATGGACTTCAGGAACCATGGCAGATAATGGAATGACAACGCAGTAGAACAAGAATGTGAGGATGGGAGCAATGACCCTCCGTACAAACAAAAAGCTGTATAAAAGGTGCCATTTCTTCCATATTGATACCCCCTGCATAATGAGATGACAAACATTACATGATATTCATATTGTCTTTTGTGGTGAGGTTCAAGAAGGCACACCTTGTTTGTCACAATTTCCCATCCCATTTTTCTGAAGAGATTGGCAGCACCACAAGTCCACCTATGCTGTTGATGACGGTAGGCCTTGAAGGTACTTGGGAGTTCACTCTTGACCTGTGTAAGTTTTGTACTTGTAATGATGTAGGGCACAATACAGTATAGCGCATGTTCAATGAAAAACAACTATTTGGAATTGCAGACTGCAAAAACATACCCTTATATCACCTACATACAAGAATTCCCATTCCTTGAGACATGCCCGTACAGCCAGGTCCATGTCCTCCACAGTGGTGCGATCTTTCCATCCTCCTGACTCATTAATAGCAGATACACGCCACACACCAGCTGTACCTGTTAACAAAAAAGAATTTCTATTAATCACATAATTTAAATTCAAATGAACCATTTCAAGAAACTAACAGTGTCAGGCTTCATTGAAGCCTCGAATAAATGGCCATAAGATTGGCTCTTACCATTGAAACCAAAGAAAGCATGCATAAATGAGCCTGATTCCTGCTCGACTTTGAAATGATAGTCCAGGGACATCTTCTGTATCCTTGTCATCAGGCAAGCATCGTAGTTAACTGCAAAATCGCCCGGGCAAAGGCCAGGTCAGGAACATCCTGTAACCAGAATAAACAGAAATCCTCACTTCAAGTTATCAATATTATCACTTTCATATAGAAGGGGGAGAACTTGCATCAGAACTTCAAATCTTCAAAAATAATCTTAAGGGAAGAAGTTATCAAAGTAGCTAAACTGAAGTTTGAGTGAAATTTGTTAGCCATCTTTTCATGTTAAAAGGTTCCACAGCCTTTTGTTACTGCAGTCACCAGTATCGTTGAAGCCTTGAAGGCCAAGAGAATCATAATAGGACAAAATAAGTGCCTCAGAATTTAGTTGTGCCCAAATTTATGTCAGTACTGACCACTATGGAGTCGAAAGACTGATACTTCTGTCATAGGATACGACAAAGGTTCACATCAAAATATTTACCCAAAACAGTTTCATTTTTAACCAGTATCACTTCAAGCCATGAAAATATTGTTCCGACTTTGAGCACGACTACCGACACTGGTAAGCACGAGAGTTTTGAGGTGAAATTTCAGCTTCAAACATCTCAATAACAAGAATCTCACATTTTATCAAGACAGGACTAGCATTTGTGCTGACTCCATTACTTTCTGAGTAAACACTCCTGATCTTAAATAGCAAATACTTCTTGGAGTTGGAGCAGAAAAAATATCATGCAAATCCATATCTAGGTACTTCACTCCAGAACATGCACAGTCAGATAGTCTTAACTACGTGCATATACTAAAAAATATAATGGTTATGCTCACCAAACTTCCAGCGTGTTTGCACAAGCGCAATCTTCGGGTTATGCACAAGAAATGGTATAGTTTTTAAAAGGAAGTCAGATTCAGGTTGGAAATCTGCGTCGAAGATAGCAACGAATTCACACTGTTGCGCATATACATGTTCCATGCCTTTCTTCAAAGCTCCAGCTTTGTATCCCTTCCTGTTATTTCTAACTTCATACTTTATGTCAATTTTCTTGCTAGCCCACTCCTGGCATTCAAGCTCCACTAGTTCCTGCACTTGCCAAAAAACGATTAAAAGCATACAGTGGCACAATAATCTGAATACAGCTAGGAGTATTAAACAGACTATCTTTCACTTCGTATACTCATATATACATTCTTAGCATGTGGGATTCAAGCTGTCCTCACACCTATTATTGCCTTCCAAGATAAATAGAGCAAACCTTGACTACTTCATAAACATTGAATCAGATTGTGTCCCATGCATTAAGCCATAGTCAACAGCAATTTCAAGCAATCAAATGATCCTATTCATGTAACTGAATAAAAATAACCGACAAGAAAGTAAGTTAGTACAAGATCATAAAGACTTCAACAAGAGTGGTTTATAACTAGTACGTATGTCAGGTGTTCAACTAGACGAGGCATAGTGATAGGGTACTGTCTCCATGGGACCAAAATCCAGTTCATAGTAATACTTTACCCATGCTTAGATTAATAGGCAACTTTGACCATTTCACAGGATTACGATGTTGAATGTACATGGTGTAACCATTGAATGTAATGCATTCTTCTGTACTTTCATGTTTCTGACACCGTTGTCTCTACATCTGAAGGGTGCTGGAAGTAGGTGTAAAACTGCACATACACACTTTCATATGTTGATGCAGATATACTAATTGTTTATTTGGGACAAGCATTCTGGTGCATGAACCATTTCACATGAGCATCACAGCAAGCACCCTTTGATCCAAAACTTAATAAACAAACATTTATTTTCATTCAATCAAGAAACCTTGTCACTGCAATCTAGGCTTACTTTAATAATGGGATCAGTTGAATCATCCAAGACTTGGATTATAATACGGTCTGGCGGCCATGTGAGAGCACAAACAGCTCCAATGGACAACTTGTACACCTGCAAAAGGCATAAAATAAGAATAAGCAACAGTCCTTGTGTCAAATACAATGAATCAGCAAGACACATAAGAACAGCGTTCAGTGGTTCAGCCACATTTCAAACTTAGCAGAAAGCTATCGCGAGGCAAAACCTGGCATTGCTAGTCAGCTGCCAGAGAGATGTAAACAAAACGCTAAACCTGTACTGGCAACTGTTTTCACATAACAACACAAACAAGAATCTCACCTAATGAGCTAACAGTTATTGAGCAGAACACTTCTACTGTACTTGACACCATGAAGGCAATGCAGAGACGCATTTTTCCAAACCCCGCCCCAATTCCTCAGTTAGTCCTGAGCGTGATACTACTAGCTTTTTCGTAGACCAGAGCAGTTTATCGACAATGTCAACACCCAAAGCTACATTTCGCAAAAGGAAAGTTCCGCAAGTACGGCACTGCAGAGACATTTCAACTTTGAGTCGGACCGGGGCGCGCACAAAAGGCCAAAAGCAGCGCGAGCAGCACGAGGCATTTCAGCTTTCAAGCAGCAGCACCAGCCAAGCACCCCGTGACGGAAATCTGGGAGGACGCCTCACCTCCTTCTCGTTGTACATGGGGATCTGCACGAGCACCATGGGGAACTCGCGGCGGCCCGCCGGGTCCTCCACGTCGGCCTCGCCCCCCTCCAGGGCCCCGGTCATGGGCTCCCACTTGAACCTCCGCTCGGGCCGCAGCCGCAGCAGGCGGACGGCGACGAGGCTGACGAGGCTCATGCAGGCGGCCTCGAGGAGGAGCATGGCCGACATGGCGAGGCACGCCCACACCGCGGCCGTCAGCGCCGGGGCGACCGCGCGCGCCCGCACGGCCGCCCACGCCGCCGCGGCCGCGCCGGCGCTGAGCGGCGCCATGCGATGCGACGCGGATCCGACCGAGGGGAGAGGGCGCGGCTTTGCTTGCTTGGAGTGGAAGGGAAGGAATCGAAGCGAGGGGAGGGAGGGAGGGAGGGAGGGAGGGAAGGGAAATGGGGGGAGGCGTGGGCGCGAGGTGGCTCGCGAATCTGGTTGGTGGTGCGAGGCGACCAAAGCCGGCCAGCGCGAGGGGAAAGAGGAAACGATACAATTTTGGATGTGGATCTTTTTGCTTTCGGTACCTGACGTTATGCGATATGCGCATCGGACACATCTACTAGTAGTAAGCTTTAACCGTTTCCCCGACTCGAATCAAGTCTTTCGATCGATTCAATCATCACGCTCGGGCTTCAGAAGAAGGAAGACCCTAGTTTGCAGCAAAGATCCGAGAAAATACAAAGTAACTCCTGTGACAAAGGATCACAATGACATCTTTTGAAAACACCTTCTTTATGGTATCAATCTTTGTTCGAAGATCGAAGAAAATACAAAGTAACTCCTGTGACAAATATCTCCTTTGCGGTAACAATCTCTACTCGAAGAAATACGTCAAACGCTTCGGTAAAGAGCTGCAATAGACTGGAGCAACGATATTGTCACTCTTTCACCGCACGTACATTATCAATAATCGTTTTTGAAAGAGCCTTCACTACTGGAATCAGCTACTTTGCCATCTGCCAGCTCTTTGCCATCAGCTACCTGAAAGCAGACGGCAAAGAACAGGCTGATGGCAAAGAAAGCCTTTCCCATCAGCCCGTTCTTTGCTGTCTGCTAGCTGACGGCAAAAAATCTTTGCCGTCGGGACGGGGGCCCACTGAGGAGCTGCTTAAAAAAATACTTAACGGCCCCCCTCTTTGCCGTCCGCTAGCGGACGGCAAAGGTGGCGGACGGCAAAGATTAAACGTATCTAACGGCCGGCGCGCCCCACCCCCCCT